CATGTGGAAATTCTTGGGAATTATACTTCAGTTCATGTGTTACACTCCAAAATTCAAAGTTGACAATTGTGTTTGGTTAACTGAATTGCTTTCTTAACATCTCCATGTGGTCAAGAATGGTAGTAGGGTTCTCAGATGAGACTCACCTGAACTTAGTGCATGTTCCACTTCCTGCATGATCACCCTGGGGGAAGCGGTGGTGGTCTCAATATCTACCAGAATACAGGTCACTTTGGCTGGCACAGTTGTTTGGGGCGTTTTCTCCGTGGGCACCAGCTCCGACGTGGCATGTGAAGTGGGGGTGTGGCCAGAGCTGTGCTCCTGTGCTGGCGACTCTCGTGTGGTTGGGGCTCCTGTGGTCTTGGTGCTGGTCTCAGTGGAGCTGTGGTTGGTATTGTCAGAGACAGAAGAAGAAACCTCTGGGGGTGAGGTTGATAGAATTGGTGGTGGTGAGGTGGATAGGGCCGGGGGTGATGAGGCTGGCATCTGAGCGGAGGTGGGTGAAGGAGACTCAGCCAGGGACCTCGACCCTGTGGCTGACACATTTGCCTCTGGAGTGCCTGAGCTGTGCTCTGTGGGCATGGGTGTTAAGGGGACCACACTGCTTGTTGATAAGGTGTCTGTGTTTGGGTCTTCCAAAGTCAAGGTGGTCTCCTGTCCTGTGGGCTCCATGACAACATTCTTGGTGGTTAGAGATGTCTGCACTGATGACACTGTAACGGGGAGCACTGAGTTGCTGGGTGTACCGCTGGTGGGGGAGGCAGGAGGGCTCTGTGGAGAGCTAGTCCAGAAGGTCGTTGGTGTTGGTGAGATAATCTTTTCCGGAAAAGAAACAGGCAGGGGGGCTGATGTAGGCTTGCTCTGCACTCTCAGTCCTGTGGAAGAGCCAGTACAAAAGTGGTTAACGTGTGAAAACCTGAGAGGCAAGGTTGTTTTGCAGTTCTCATTTTGCATTGCGCATCCCCAACTGTGAAAGTGACTTTTAAATATTTTCTTCCCACTGCCCTAGCTGGTTTGGCTCAGTGGATAGAACTTTGGATTGTGGACTGAAAGGTCCCTGGTTCAATTCCGGTCAAAGGCACATGCCCGGGTTGTGGGCTCGATCCCCAGTAGGGGGTGTGCAGGAGACAACCGATCAGTAACTCTCTATCATCATTGATGTTTCTATCTCTCCCTTCTTCTCTGAAATCAATAAAAATCTATTAAAAATATTATCTTCCCACTAATTGCTCTCCTCTTCTATGTGGCTATCAGTAGAAACCGGCCTGGAGGCTCAGTAAGAGCATTTAGTGGGTCAGTCAAAGCAAGTCCAGCCAATTCATGGAACAACCTAATCTTGTCTCCTGCTTGCTTCAAACCTAGCCCTTAAAAGTGAGACTCTCTGGGGGACTGGCTCTATGGGAATTGGTCTGGACTGCTGAGGGCCCTGCTCCACATGCCTGTGGGGATGCCTATGGTTTGTGCGGGGTGGGGAAGGCATGGTTGGTGAGTGGAAAGCTTATTGATTGACTTTTCCCTGCCCCAGGGTTGTGAGCTCTGTGTTTATGCCCGGGATGCAAGGCCTATGAGCTTGTTGGCTGAGATGAATAAAAGTCTGAGCACATTCCCTGCAGAGGAGGAAAGGCAGGAGGTCCAAGAATAAAAGCTGAGAGGAGGATGGGAGGTTTAGATATATTTTCTGAAACTGGAACTCAGGACTTCTGAATTTTAGCCTGGGGTCTTTAGGATCATATCATTTTACAAAATGTTCTTCATATTTTGTAAAGTTTAGAATTAGTTTTCTTTCTTCCTCCTTCCCTCCATTTATCCATGCAATTTAATTAATTAATTAATTAATTAATTCTTTCATTCAAGTATTTAATAAATGGCTTGTATGTGCTAGCACCCTGCTAGAATCTGGGCTTATGATTTCATTTTTATGTAAAACATCTTTTAATCGCCTCCCCATGCCCCTTGCCATTCACTGAAAAGCTTTCCCCAGTCATTTCTATCTCAGCGGATGGCACCCCTTTCACTCTGTTGCTCAGTTAAAAACTGAGACATCATCCCTCATACCCCACATCAAATCCACCAGCAAGTCATGATGATTCTACCTTGAAAATATATCCTAATCCAACCACTTTTCAAACTTGTCCCATTACCTCAACACCACCTGAGCCACCAGTTGCTCACTTAGACAACTGACATAGTCTCTTCATTGTCTAAGGTTCCAGGCTCCTCCTTTCAGTCTACTTTTCACACAGCAGCCAGTATGATCTTTCAAACTGGTAAATAAGATCATGTTCTTTAACTGATCAATATCCTTCAAAGGCATTCTGTTGCAGTTAGAACAAAATCCCAAAGTTACAAAATCCCTATGACGTTCCAAGTTAAAATATACATACCATAACATTGACCATTTTAACCATTTTCAAGTGTACAGTTCAGTGGCATAAGTATATTCACATTACAGTTCAATCATCCCTGCAATCCATTCCTGGAACCTCTCATCTTCCTTAATATGCTTTGTACCCATTAAACAAAACTTTCCATCCTTTCCTTCTCCACAGCTCCTGGAAACCACTATTCCACTTTCTGTCTCTATGACTTTGACAGCTCTAAGAACCCTATGTAAGTAGAATCATACAGTATTTGTCCTTTAGTGACTGGCTTATCTCATTTAGCCTAAAGTCTTCAAGGTTCATCCATGTTATAGCATGTGTCAGAATTTCCTTCCTTTATAAAGTTGAATAATCTATTGTATTATAGGCTACTTTTTGTTTATCTGTTCATTCACTGATGGACTTTGATGGGTTGCTTTCACCTTTGGTATATTATGAATAATGCTGTTATGAATCTGAGTGTACAGATATCTGTTTGAGACCCTACTTTATTCTCTTCGGTATACACCCAGAAGTGGAAGTGGTGGATCTATGGTAATTCTATGGTTAATATTCTTAGAAACTGCTATACTCTTTGTTCATTTTTGTTTTTCATAAAATAGTTTATCCCTTGAATTGCAAATTATTTACTTAATTATTTATTATCTTTTCTATCAGAATGTAAGCTCCATAGGGTGCAGGGACCTGGTCTTAATTCACTGCTATTTCCCCCAAACCTAGGACAGTGCCTAGGTCATATTAAGTACTCAATTAAGTACTTGTAGAAGGAACAAAAAAAGAAAGGAAGGTAGATAGGAAAGTAGAGGGAAAGAAAATAGGAAGGATGGGAGGAAGGGAGGAAGGAAGGAGAGAAGAAAAGAAAGGAGAGAGGTAGAAAAAATAAATTAACTTAAGAACTACATACCACTTAGTATGGCCACATCTATCACAGCTGCCTCAGGGATGGTTGCCTACCTAGTGTCATATGAGGTCAGAAATCTTGTTTAAAAGTCAACTTCACTCTACGTCATTCTACCGTGATGTATCCCTATGCCTGCTGTCTTGGTAGGTCTTTGATTATTTAATCTCTGAGGAGATTCCTTGGGGATAGCATATAGAACATAGCCAACCATGATCAAGATTCATAAGGAATAAAACATAGGCTGGATTCTAGCACAGAAGAAGGGAGAAAAGATGCATCAGGGGCATTTGGGCACTTGGGATAAATTGCTTCCTTCTTCATCCTTGCACACAATAGATTCAGCAGCTGATGGAAAGTTCTGCTATAGAATCTATCCTGAAAATATAGTTTGTTCATTATTTAACTGAATTTAACATTTGGATTATTATAAAATAATTGGTTTTATGTTATTTAAAAAAGGTTGGTCAAGACCATAAACCACAAGAGTCATTCTCTAGTAAACATGAGGATGGATCTCTCAGATTAAGCTACATAATAGTCCATTTTGTGCTGGAGGACTTTTGGCAACTGTGAAGTGTCAACAATCTCAGGATGAATACAGATCAAGAGATCTTTGAAATGTGGACAAAACAACAGTTGGGACAAATAGTATTAAATAATATTTCTTACTGGCTCTGCATCTCAGTAGCTCTCGTGGCTTATTAAAGATTCTGGGATCAGAAAAACAAAAATGACAATGTTTACTATTGTTCATAGTATCATATAATAGATGGGCAGATGGAGGCAGAGAGAGCCTCAGTCTGGTAACTGAATCAGAGTCTTTGGAAGTCTGGGGTAAATGGGAAATGAGTCATATACAAAGGAGCATTCATTCATTCATTCAAGCTTTTATTGAGTAGATTCCATGTCCATGGCCTTGCCCTTAGAGAGTTCACTATCTAGCAGGACAGAATGGACACCATCTTCCTATAATATGATATGAAAAATGTCTTATGGAATCAAAGCAAGTTGCAATGGAAGCCTTGAGGAAAGATAAATAAATTTTGTATAAGGACCATGGAATGTAAAAAATACAAATGTCATTTATAAAAGTCACAGAAGAGAAGACATTTCAGTTGGTTCTGAAAGGATGAGAACACACAATATGCTACTTAAGATATATGATGTTCAGAGTGACACTTGCATTGTCATTTCCAATGGAGCTAAGAGCTGTACCATGGAAATTATTACAGTGCTAATAATGACATTCTTCAGGAACTGGTTTTATTGCACAAGACACTCATTTTCTTACTTAATTCTGACTAATATACTTTAAAACTTTTTATTGATTGGTTTTAGAGAGAGAGGAAGGGAGAGAAAGAGAGACATCAATTTTTTGTTCCATTTATTTATACATTCATTGTTGATTCTTGTATGTGCCCCGACTGGGGATTGAACCCCAAATCTTAGGGTATCAGGACAATGCTCCAACCAACTGATCTACCCAGCCATGGCCTGACTAATATACTTTTACAACTCCTACCCTCCAAAGAGGTGTACATTCATTTTCCATGTTACCTACTGAGTACTTACTTAAAATACTTTACAGTCTAGTTCAGGCAATTCCTACTCCTAACAAAACAACCATGTGTGAGATCATGTTTAACAATACTGGTTATCTTCACTTGAACAACCTTAATTTTTAGTTAAACATTAAAAACATAAGAGTATCTGCCTTATTTGATGGTACATTCCATATTGCTCTGACTGCTTGAGGGTGGTCTTCTTTCAGCATGAAAATATCGAAGGCTCAGGCACCATGACTCTCCTAGAGATGCTTGCTATTGGCTCAGGCTGCAAGAACAAAATACCATCGATGGAGTGGCTTTAACAACAGAAATGTACTTCTCACAGTTTAGAGGCTGGAAGTCCAAGCAAGGCATGGGCCAGTTCAGTTCCTGGTGAGAACACTCTTCCTGCCTTGTAGGTAGTTGCCTTCTAGCTGTGTTTCAGAGTTGCCTCTCCTTGTGTGTTCTTGAGGAGGAAGAAAGGGAGTCAGGAAAGGAAGGAGGGCCCTAAAGAGAGAGAGTATGCAAGCTCTCTGGTGTCTCTTCTTACAAGGACACTAATCTCATCATGAGGGACCCACCCTCATGACCTCATCTAATCCTAATTCCCCAAAACTCCATCTCCAAATGCCATCACACTGGGGATAAGGGCTTGAACATTCAGAATCACTGAGGAAATACAATTTTTGCCTTCTCATGTATAGTACAGGCATACCAAACTGAGTAAGTCAAACAGCGTAGGATGTATATATTTCTTCAGGATTTCAAGAAATATTTAGAGCTAAAGAGGGCCTAAGTGATGAGCAAGGACAGCCCCTCATTGGATAAATGAGGGAGCAGACACAGAGAGGGAGGTGATGTGATTGAACTTATGCATCTGAGAGGAAGAGTTGGGCAGTGTTATCTGGAAACAATTGTGTAGGGACAAAGTCAGAACTAGAACTTCCACCCTCTGACCACCACCACCACACTGTGCCCTGGCCTCACAGAACATACTGTAGCAGCTCTCATTACAGAGTGAGCAAGGAGGAGCCCACATGAGACTGGGCCACTGAAGAAGTTAAAATAATGTAGTACCCCCTACATCTCCCAACCCAAGGTAGGGTCACTTTCCATTGAAAAAATGAATTAGTTCTAGTATTTCCTTGAGAAAATGGCAGAAGAAATAAAATGAAGAAATTGAACCCATTCATCTCTAAATTAGAAGTGAATGAGCATTGTTCCAAAACAGAGAGACCTTGCCAGATATGGTGTATGCTGCCTGGGCAGTGACAGACCTGCATGCCCGAGACTGATTGATGTGAGGAAGGACATCTCTTAGACTTGGCCAAAATGTGGGGTCAAGGGGAATGATGGCCAACAAAATCTGAAATTCCTCCCTGTAAGCTTACAAATGACAGTTTTTCCTGAAGTTTGGTCAGCTTTCATGTTGTAAGAATAGCTGACAGATTATTTGTTGTTCAGAAGAAAAGCAGATTGGTAGTTGTATAGAAAATGATTTATTTCCATGTATATTGCCCTTTATGGGGGAGACCAATATCACAGTTTACGTCTCTTTGATATATGAAAGAACTGTGCCTGGCTTGATCCCTGGTTTCTTGCCTTGCTAGGAGGGATTTGGGGGCTGAGGGGTGAGACAGGTAGGTGAGTTCTCCCAGTGCAGAGAGGAGTTACAGGACATTCTATGGTAGTGAGTCTGTGTTTTGCACATGTGTTCTTGGCTTGACTGGTTGTCAGGAATATGAGTCTGTGATACAGATGCAGGTGGACAGTGAGTTCCCTGAACTGTCACCCTTTCCTGGGGGTTTCATGAGCAACAACTTGGGTCAGTGCCAGAGTCCCAGGCACCCTGATTACCTGTGTTGCTCTCATCTGTTCTCTCTCTCCCCACCCGCCACCCCCAACATGTCCTTTCCTGTCCTTGGCTTGTCAAGTACCTGAAAAAACATGTGACAAAGCTTTGGCAAATTCAGTGAAACTCGATCAAATCGCAGTCAAGGCCTCTCCTGTTGCTGCCAAGTCAGCCGAGTGTTGCCTGTGGTCTCAGTGGATCATGCCAGGCCAACCTGGCAGAGGCCCCAGGGCTGCGGAAGGTCCACACGCTAAGTAATTACTAATGGTTACTCCACACAGTTGCCTCCCCCCCAGCCCTCACCCCGTGAGCTTCTTGAAGGGCCAACTGGACCGTATCACCCTCTGGTGAGGGCTGAGGGGAGAAAAAGAGGCTGCATGGCTTCTCCCTGCATTGAAGATAAAACTTCAAATCCTCACTGAGGCTGAGAAGGCTTGCTGTGATCCCACCCCAGTCTGCCTCTCCAGCCTTGCTCCCCACCAGATCCTCAAACATACCAGGCTCTTCACTTTATTCCTTCTGCCTAAACAATTCTCCCTCTTCTCTCTGCCCAAGTTATTCCTATTTATCCTTCCAGTGTTAGCTTAAGGGCCTTTGCTGATTCTCTTGCTAAAATCCGCCCCTCCTGCCCTCAACTCCTCATGTGCTCAAAGCACATTCTGTAACTCCACAGCGTTGAAATTGGCATATAACTGTGTAATTCCCCCTATAGACTGTGTGTGTGTGTGTGTGTGTGTGTGTGTGAGAGAGAGAGAGAGAGAGAGAGAGAGAGAGAGAGAGAGAGAGAGAGAGAGAGAGAGAATGAGCTATGTGCTCTATACAGGGCACTGTGCTGAGCACCTTACATGCATCATCTTATTTTTATTATTTTTAGTTTTTATTATCTTCACGCGAGGATTTTTTCCCTTGATTTTTAGAGAGAGAAGAAGGTAGGAGGGAGGAGAAGACAGCTAGCTAGCTAGATAGATATATAGATGATAGATAGATAGATAGATAGATAGATAGATAGATAGATAGATAGATAGATAGAAAAACATTGATGTGAGAGACACATCAATTGGTTGCCTCTTGCATACGCCTCAATTGGCGAACCTGCAACCGAAGTACATGCTCTTCACTGGGAATCAAAACCTCAACCCTTCCGTCCGCAGGCTGACACTCTAACAACTGAGCAGAACCAGTGCATCATCTTATTTGATCATAATAACCATTATTATCTTGATTTCACAGGTGATGAAATAGGCTCAGAAAAGTTAAGTAACCTCCCCAAGGTCACACAGCTACTATATGGCATAGTTGAACCTTGAACCTGAAACTGTCTGACTCCAGGCTAACCTTTTAACCACTCTACTATATTGTACTGGGAAATGCAAGGGTGTTTTTGAAGTCTGGGCCCCAATTTTTTCTCCATTTCCCCTAATAAATTCTTTAGTATAGGCCACTAGACTGATCTTTAAAAAACGTATCTGACCATATTAAATCCTTCAAACTCCCTTTAATCCTATAACAGGCTCCCCATTGTCTTATGGATAAATCCTGAGCTCTGTGGCATAGCACATAGCACCTTTAATGATCCCCTGACCCCACCCCCTCATGAGCCTTGTAATCTTAGGGATTGGAGTCACAGTGTGTTCCTGTCTATCTATATTCTAATATACCCACTGTCTGCCACCCTGTCTTTGCATCTGCTGTTCTTGCCACCCTAACTCTTCTCTCGCCACCTCAATTATGAGAACTGTAGAGCCTTAACTCCTCGGTGGCCACACAGAGACCTTCTCCTTTGTGTGGCCATGGCATTTCATACAAACTTTAATTGTAGCACGCATTATACTGAGCCATACTTTCCCTCCATGCTTGTCTCCCATCCGGCTGGGAGCCCTAATAATAGGGACTGTGTGTTGTTTTTTGTGTCTTCATGCCTGAAACAGAGAAGGTACTCAATAAATATTCACTGAGTAAAAACATGGATTTTCTGCCCTTTGGAAAACAGGAATGTTCTCTGGCTTATATGCTGGGCCAGGATAGCAGAAGTGCATCCTCCCTTTCCTTGTCGGTAAGTTCCATCAAAACCACCAGCTAATGAATTTTGGATGGATCTCTAAACAGTCTTTTGCTATGTTTGCTTGCCCATTTCTACTTTAGAGACCTCAGGGGTTTCTTCTCTGTGTGCATGACATAGACCAGAGTCACCAGCTCTTGAAATGCTGACTATCAATCAGTTGGCTCACACAGAGGCTGGACTTACTATCCCTGCTTTGAATGAACTAAACTTCAACAAGCATTTACGAGAAAGAGAGATAGAGTAAAAAATAATCTTAAAATGTTATATATGTAAGCTAGGTCTTAGTATTCTTTAGGTTGAGTGAAGACGCTGTTTGGACCCCCACACTTACAAAAACTCATGTTGCTTTAGGTTGGGTTAGGGCTGCTTAGGGCCCCAACACTCCAGAAGGTTCATCTAACATCTGCAAAACCATTACCAATCAATCTGGTCTAACCATATGGTGTTTGAAAGCTATCATATGTCTAGACAGAATGTGTATGCCCCAAAGCCATCAAACTGTGCTTAAGAAGATACTTGTTTGAAGCAGAAAAGCCATATTCTCCTGATGGAAATGAGATACAATTCTAGTCCAAAAAGAGGAAAAGTGCTCTGTGATCCAGCTGCCAAGTCAGAACCTGCAGACCTGGTGTATGACTCAGTTTCTCCTTCCATAAAACAAGGACTAGTGGTATCATCAGGCTCCTGTGGGTGTGGCAAAGGCTGAGAGAAAAACATTTGTGAAGAATGGTGCACTTCCTGGGAAAAAATATACCATTTTCTTTCTTTTCTCCGGAAGCAACATCTGTCTTTGTCAGTCAAATCCACACACCCCTGGCCCACCCCAACTCATTATTATTAGCCTGGGAGGACTGTGTTACCCGTCCTCAGAAGGAGGCCGTGCTGAGCAAGGATGCCAACAGATGCCTGAAATTCTGAAGGTACCACATTAGGGGTTCTCAGGGTGGAGAGAAAGAGAGACCACGTAGCGAGGTCTAGTACCTTTTCTTCAACTGCATTGTGGATGAAGGTGGATATGGGTGAGTGCATGGGTAGTGGAATGGGATGAGAAGACCACACACCTCCTTCAGGTAGCAGGACACTTCTGAATAACAAAGTCAGGATCTCAGGTTCCCTTCCATGGGCCCAGTTCCAACATGTGTGGGTCCCAGTGCAAGAGAATGTCTAACTATGAAACTGTTATGAATCAAGATGTGTCTGTGACCCAGCCTGTGCTCCATCCAGGGCCTGCAGCCCACTCCCAAGGACCTCTCAAGATGGACAAAATCAGGGAACTCCCAGGGCAGTACAGGCCACAGCTGGGCCTGAGTCTGCCTGAACCCAGGATGAAGACTGACCTGGACACGTTTCCCTGGCAGCTTTGGTGGGCAGACTCCCCTTCCCTAGGCCTTACTTTTCTGGCAGGGTTTTCAGGCATTCCTAAGTAGGGAGGAAGTGCAGGTAGCACCTTGGGTGACTTCTGGTGACCAACTTTAAACAAAGGCAGCGACTCCTCTGGTGACCCAGAGCTGAGGCTGTGACTCTTCCCTGCACTCATGTGCTCACTGGCCATACCCTCTGGCCTGGGAGCCCAATTCAGCTCCAGTGGATTCTCCTTTTTGTTCACTGAGTTATTGAAATTTCAAAAAATTTCTTGGGGGGTTGAAAAGAAAACACACACACTTTGTGCATGGGTGTTTGTAAAATGCAACCATCTCTTGCCTGGTTGAGGGGAGGAGGCATAACCTTCCTTCCACTCCACCTCCTATAGCCCAAATCACACAATCAGGTCATTTCTTATACGCTGCAATCCCTGGGGACTATGAGAACTTAAGAAAGCTCATAATATTGGCCTGCTTTGATTCTGAACCTCTTACTTCAGAGGACCTTTTTCTAGACTTAGAGTTACCGAACTGACAGAGGAAGACCTGGTATCATTGTACCACTGCCTTCTCAGCCTAAATGCACTGCCCACTTCTTGCCCTCCTGTGTCTCCAGCTCAGCTAAGTGCCCTGTCCATGATTCCTTGTTCTACAAAGAGCTGTGGATGTTTATGTGCTCAGCTCCATGGCAATCTGCTTCTGGAAGGACGTTCTTAGGGGCCCCCCAGGCTGATCCATCCTGGCATTCTTATTGAAGAATTCATAGGCAGTTTGACTAATCACAGGATAATGCCCACGAAATGCAATCAGATAAATGAAGCTGTTTGCTTTATAGCGTTTTAGTTAACACATTTCTAATGCCAAATTCTGGGTACTCTATAAGCATTAAGTCAACCTCCACAATCAATCTAGGATAATATTACTATATCTAGTCCTCATTTTAAAAGTAAGCAAACTGAAGCAGAAAGAGGTTAAATAATTTATCAAGACATATAGGTAGAAAGTAGTATAGCCTAGATTCAAACTCATCAAAGGCAGTCTATTTTAGTGACTTGCCTTCTTAATCATCTTGCTATATATATATATCTATAGAGCTGAGATTGATGGGATAAAAGCTAAGGGACTTCTGAAAAGATTTTGCTTCTCTATTTGAGGAATATAGAAGAAAGTGAAATTCTCTTGGTGCCTACTCTTTCACCCTCCTCCCTGTCTTTAATGTAGATGTGATGTCTGGCACAGTGGCAGTCATATTGTGAAGCCAAGGATGAAAGTCAACCCACTAAAGATCATGAAAGTAAAAAAAAGGAAGAGCTTTCACCTTGATGATATTGTTGATTTTGCCAACCTACGCCTTAGATGCCTGTCTCAGACTTGCTGCTAAGTAAACAATAAATGCCTTTGGGGATTAAGGCATGTTGGTCAGTTTTTCTTACAGTATAGATGATAGACCATGTAAAAGCTTACTATGTGGCATAGCAAGTGTTCAGTAAATATTAGGATGTTATTTTAACCTCTAAGCTCCTTTAATCTGCTAATGATTTTCAAAAGGCACTTTTTAGGCACCATCAGGGGGAGACTATGGCACCACCTATGAGCCACAGGGACTGAGTACTCCTGACATCCTTCATTCAACAAAGCAATAGGCAGCTGGACCTATAAGTGTATCTGGAGGTATTCTCTAGGTTGATGCTTATGAAAGCTGAGCTGCCTCACAAACCCACAGATTGCATCAGAAAGGAGAAAAAAAAAAGCAAGCTAAATAAGATTTTTATTTTTCTACTTTATTTAAACACTAGAGGCCCAGTGCATGACATTCGTGCACTGGAGGGTCCCTCATCCTAGCATACACCCTCTTGCAGTCTGGGAGCCCTCAGGGGATGTCTGACTGATGGATTAGGCCTGCTCCCCAGTGGGACATCCTTAGTGCTTCTGCAGAGGCAGGAGAGGCTCCCGCCACTGTCACTGTGCTCACCAGCCGTGAGCCTGGATCAGGACTTCTGGCTGAGCGGTGCTCCCCCTGTGGGAGTGCACTGACCACCAGGGGGCAGCTCCTGTGTTGAGTGTCTGCCCCCTGGTGGTCAGTGCATGTCATAGAGACCGGTTGTTCCGCCGTTCAGTCGATTTGCATATTAGCCTTTTATTATATAGGACTAGAGGCCCGGTGCACAAAAGTGTGTGCACTCGGGGGGCGGGGGGGGTGTCCCCTCAGCCTGGCCTGTGCCCTCTTACAATCTGGGACCCCTCGGGGGATGACCACCTGCTGGCTTAGGCCTGCTCCCTGGGGATTGGGCCTAAGCTGGCAATCAGACATCCCTCTGGCAGCCCAGCAGCCCTTGGGGGATGTCCACTTGCCAGCGGGGAGCAGACCAAGGCTGCAGTCAGACATCCTTAACACTGCTGAGGAGGCAGGAGAGGCTCCCACCACCACCACTGTACTAGCAGCCATCAGCCTTGCTTGTGGCTGAGCAGAGCTCCCCCTGTGGGAGCGCACTGACCACCAGAGGGCAGCTCCTGCATTGAGCGTCTGCCCCCTGGTGGTCAGTGTGTGTCATAGTGACCAGTCATTCCCAGTGGTTCTGCTGTTAGGGTCAGTTTGCATATTACCCTTTTACTATATAGGATAGAGGCCTGTTGCACAGGTGGGGGCCAGCTGGTTTGCCCTGAAGGGTGCCCCAGATCAGGGTGGGGGTCCCGCTTGGGTGCCTGGCCAGCCTGGGTGAGAGACTGATGGCTTTTTGCAGCTTGTCACACCCCCTTTAGGATGGGGGTCCCCACTGGGGTGCCTGGCCAGCCTGGATGAGGGGCTGATGGCTGTTTTTAGGCTGACCACACCCCCTTCAGGGTGGGGGTCCCCACTGGGGTGCCTGGCCAGTCTGGGTGAGGGGCTGAGGGCCATTTTCAGGCTGGCCGGCGACTGAAGCTCCCAACCTCTCCTTTTTTTCTTTTTTCTTTTTTAATTCTGGGATTTATATACCTTCTATAATTGAAACTTTGTTGCCATCACTGGAGCTGAGAACTGGCTCCTCCCGCTCCAGTTCTGAGGCCACGGCCTGCTGAAAGCAGGTATCTGGGGTTTGTTTAGCTTCTATAATTGAAACTTTGTTGCTTTCGGAGCTCAGAGCCGGGCCACGGCAGGCGGGGAACCTTGGCTTCCTCTATCACTGGAGCAAACAAGCCTCCTGCTTGCTTCTGCTGCATGGCTGCCGGCCACCATCTTAGTTGGCAGTTAATTTGCGTATCGCCCTGATTAGCCAATGGGAAGCATAGCGAAGGTATGGTCAATTACCCTTTTTGTCTTTTATTAGATAGGATGGTTCAGAAATTTCTGGGACAATTTTCACCATGAGTCTTCGTATGACATGCATGAGACTGAATGGCTTCAGGAGGCTGAGGAAGCAGAGGAAATAGCACCCAGCAACAACCAGGGACCTGTACCTTGTCATTATTTTTTATTTTATTTTTTAAATATATTTTTATTGATTTCAGAGAGGAAGGGAGAGGAAGAGAGAGATAGAAACATCAATGATGAGAGAGAATCATTGATCAGAGGCACACCCGCTACTGGGGATCGAGCCCGCAACCCAGGCATGTGCCCTTGGCCGGAATCGAACCTGGGACCCTTCAGTCTGCAGGCTGACACTCTATCCACTAAGCCAAACTGGTAGGGCTACCTTGTCATTATTAGACAAGCTGGCCTGCTTTATCAGTGCTATAAGGTACAAGCAAGAACACACTCACTACTATTATTTTTTAATTTTAAGCATCACTTAGCAGTTTACATTTAAAGAATTCAATTAGACTTTTGTTTGTTTAGGTCCAATTCAACCAATACATATTGAGTGCCAGCTATGACCAAGGCACCCAGGTATCTAAGTGATGGGCAAGAAGGCATACTGGAAGAGAAAGAAATTCGTTTTATATTTCATGTAGCCTTTCCATTGATGGCTGCAATTTGGCTTTATTTTCCCCCCTCCTTTATGGTGATGTTTAATGTCTCTGTACTTGACCTTTCAGAATAATGACCTCTGATATTGGCACAGTCATAGTTCCTCCTCTACCACCTTTTCTTTACACAGATTGTTGTGTCTAGTATGGTCTGAATGCTTGTGTGCCCTCTCCCCACTCAATTCATATGTTGAAACCTAATCCCCAGTGTGAAGGTATTTGAAGAAGGGCCTTTGGAGATGATTAGGGCATGAAAGTAGAGCCCTTGTGAATGGGGTTAGAGACTCCACCCAACTCCCTAGCAAACTTCCTCCTGGTGAGGGCACTGACCTTCAGCAGAATGAGACCATGCTGGGGCCTTGATCTTGGACTTCCCAGCCTCCAGAACTGTGAGAAATAAATTTCCAGTGTTTATAAAGCACTCAGTCTATGGAATTTTGTTACAGCAGTCCAAACTAAGACAGAAGGGGATAAATGAGTGGGTGAAGGGGATTGGTAGACTATT